CAATCAAAGATATATAGAAAAAAACTTATTATCAAAGCCCCAAAAAAAAAAAAAAAAACAATCAACATTACATAATCCTCATAGAATACACGATGAAAGAGGAGCCAAATAAAATAAAATGATTAAAAGAATCTATAACACATGTAAGTCATTAAAACAGATTCTCTTACACACATACAAACAAAAAAAACAAACGTCCTTGTACCGCATCTCGTGCAGAACACGGCCAACCATCACATCCTCGTGATCCATGTTCAGGCTCAGAAACTCCGGTTCCCTCTCCTTGCTGTACGGCAAACGCACCAGACGCTGCAACGGCTTGTACAACACAAACTTCTCCGCCACGTCCCTCGCAAGCGTCATCGCAAAACCCAAAATAAAACCCACAGGAAAAAGATCTCCTTTTTGGTAAAACACACCCCAGTACGTCTTGTGACGCGGGAGTGTGCGCAGGTCGGCAAGGTACTGCGGCACGCGAAGGAAGATGTCGTCGTCACCCTTCGCAATGTACGGGACCGTGGGGAACAGACGCAAGGCAAAGTCAAACCAAAAGTATGTCTTGCGGCTCATGCCAATCTCAGCCTCCCGGCCCCAAAAGCCGGAGCCAGCAACGGTTTTGTTCGTCGTCACGCGGCCCTCATCAATGGAGGTTGTAAGGACGTCGTGCCACTGCGCCGCCTCCTCCAGCAGCGCGGCAGAGTAGTTGTAGCCGTGCGACGGGTGCCGCGCAAGGACGTACAGCACGAGCATCGCACCGGTGAAGCTGTTCGCCCTCGTCGCCACTCCGGGGAACCGCCAGCACGTCGACCGCTGCAGGTGGCGGCGCCGCTGCCTCGCCTCCAGATCCACAGTGGGAATGCCAAGAACAATGAGAAAGTCTCGCTTCTTCCACGCGTCCACGACATCGCGGGGAACGTATCGCAGTGCCTCCCCGTCAGTGGTACGGGGGAGTAACTGGGGCTGCTGGGAAGAGTTGGCGGTGAAGTCATCCTCCAAGTAGGCACCAACGTTGGTTTCGATCTCTTGAATGCGAGAAACTGCAAACAGCACCAGGAGAAACCAGACACCGGCAACAGAGGTCATCCATTTGTCTGAGAATTGCATCCTTATTGCGTCCTTGTGGAAGAGAGAGAACGGAGAGATGGGCAGGTTGAGTAAAACTGTACGTATGATCAGTGGGATTGTGGGTGTGGTAGCAAATAAGAGTGTTTTGGGAAGCGGCCGGTTGACAGGTTCCTTTGTGTTGTAGTGATTTCCTGAGTTTAGTGGCGCTCTAGTAATGACGATGATGGGACATCGGGCGGCGTTTTGTGGCTTCATGAGGGCGGACATGCGTGCGCGTCATCGGACTCTGAGATCGTCATTTGTTTTGTCACGATCACCCGCACGCCATCCACTTCCACTTTCCTTCTCCCCTTTGCAGACGACGCATGTGTGGGCGTTGCTGCGGTGGTGCCTGCATGGGTGGACCGTCACCAGAGGGTTTCACGGCATCACTGTGTGCTGCGCTTCTTGTGGGCACCCACATCTCCCAGGCGAGGGGTATTTATGTTCGCCACCAAATGTGTTGGGAAATGATGTTGTGTGTGCCGCCGCTTGCGTCAACTGCAATGGCGCTTATAATAGCACGCAAAGAGATATGGAAGTAAAAGAAGATGAAAGCAGCAAACAGAAACAAAATCGTGTGTCCGTGGTTCATCCAATCGGGCTGCACAGATGGCACGGCGCAACTAATGATTGCTTGAGGCGTGCCACCGCCGCCCTTTTTTTTATCCCCCCGCCTCCGCCAACGGTGCGGTCAGCTTTTGGTCCTTCTCATGCCGGGCTCCAAAACCGCCACGTGCGGCGGTGCACCCCCTCGTCCGCGCGCGCAACATCACCGGTAAAAGGAAGAGCTCCATGCTTGCTTTTGTTGTTATTATATTTTTTATTTCCCTTTTCCGCGTCCCTCCAACAGCGCCCACCTCTCACGGTTCGTGGGAAGATAAGGTGGCAGGAGAACGCTGCGTGGGGGTGGCGACTCACTCACTCGCCGCCTTGGACACCTTCGGAGCACTCTTGAAGGTGCCAAACACCCAGTCCCACAGCGTAATGTACTGACAGTAGTTGTACTTGAACTGCAAATGGTGCAAGTCATGGGCCCGGACGTTAAAGACGTAGGGGATGTGCAGATCAACGCGGGTGTGATTGAGGCCAGCCAGTGTGCCACCAACAAAGATAAAGACCACAGCTGTCAGTGCGTGCATCTGGCCCACTGGTGTGACGCGGCTGAGAAGATACAGGGAAAAAAGATGCAGATACTCCCCGGTGACGTACTCAAACGGGTGGACGTTGATGGCGTCGTCAACGCCGCGAAACGGCGTCACCTGGCGGTGGTGGTGCTTGTGGACGAGGGGGTAAATGGGCGGCCAGTGCAGCGCCCAGTGGAAGAGGGTGTAGAAAAAGTCGTAGACAATAAACAGCGCCACGAGGTGCAGCGGCATCCACGCCACGGAGCGAAGAACTGCCGGCCCGTCCATAAAGTCCACGCACATGCCGCTCACGTCGGTGTGGACAATAAACTGGTATGTGTGGTACACAAAGAGGGCCGTGACGACCTTGGCGAAGTTGATGTAAATTTTGTCCCTCACCGTGAGCGACCGGAGGCACTGCGGGCGGTCCGGTAGGCGGTCCCTCACCACGGATCCAACCAGCGGACACACAACACGCTCGTAGAAGGAGAAGCCAAGAAATATGACCCCGGTGAACACCACATCGAGAGCCAGCGCCGACATCTTCCCAAAAGATCCCTCGCGTGCTCCCTCCGTGTCCTCCACAAGACGTCGCTGCGCCTCAGACGGTGTTGATGTGAACGAAATCATTTGACTTTGTGAACGAAATATATGCCTTTGGCGCTGGCCCAATTGTAAAGTTGTCAATAATAGAAACCAAACAAGATAGGAATAAGAAAGGGATGAATGGAATAAGAGTGGGCTCACCGCATCCCCAAAGTTCAACACCAGGTAAGTGTATGTTTATATATCTACATCATCCGTTAGCCACTATCGTGGCCCGCTCACTCCATTCCAATAGTATACATATATTTATTTATTACCTACGACGTGAAAGACTTTGGGGTCCTCCAGCCACAAGACCCCGCCGCCAAGTGGGAATCAAAAGGGGGTGGGTGCGATGGTAAAACAAAAAAACAAAAATAAAATAATTGAAGTCCTCTCGACGTCATTGTTTCCCCGATTCCTAGAATCGCGGCCAACCAAAGAATAAAACATTGGGGGGAAAAAGGTTATAAAGAGTTCGCTTCATCAGGATACAAATGTTAAATTGCGTAGCCAACTTGCCCGCGAACATTCATTTCACAAGATCCTAAAAAAGTTTTAAAAAATGGCCATTACTGCTAACAATCAAAAATGTACCTTCTCTCGTTGAAATTGAAACTCTTGGGCGCAGGAGAAGTGTCATTCCCAAAGCGCTGCATCAATGTTTCGTAGTCACTCTCCCAAACATGGTGCACAACAACAGAACTCTCAGTGACATTCCTTACCCTAAAGCCTTCGTGCACGTCATGAAAGCGGCATGGCCTTTCGGAAAAGAAGGCCACGTCCTTGTACCGCATCTCGTGCAGAACACGGCCAACCATCACATCCTCGTGATCCATGTTCAGGCTCAGAAACTCCGGTTCCCTCTCCTTGCTGTACGGCAAACGCACCAGACGCTGCAACGGCTTGTACAACACAAACTTCTCCGCCACGTCCCTCGCAAGCGTCATCGCAAAACCCAAAATAAAACCCACAGGAAAAAGATCTCCTTTTTGGTAAAACACACCCCAGTACGTCTTGTGACGCGGGAGTGTGCGCAGGTCGGCAAGGTACTGCGGCACGCGAAGGAAGATGTCGTCGTCACCCTTCGCAATGTACGGGACCGTGGGGAACAGACGCAAGGCAAAGTCAAACCAAAAGTATGTCTTGCGGCTCATGCCAATCTCAGCCTCCCGGCCCCAAAAGCCGGAGCCAGCAACGGTTTTGTTCGTCGTCACACGGCCCTCATCAATGGAGGTTGTAAGGACGTCGTGCCACTGCGCCGCCTCCTCCAGCAGCGCGGCAGAGTATTTGTAGCCGTGCGACGGGTGCCGCGCAAGGACGTACAGCACGAGCATCGCACCGGTGAAGCTGTTCGCCCTCGTCGCCACTCCGGGGAACCGCCAGCACGTCGACCGCTGCAGGTGGCGGCGCCGCTGCCTCGCCTCCACATCCACAGTGGGAATGCCAAGAACAATGAGAAAGTCTCGCTTCTTCCACGTGTCCACGACATCGCGGGGAACGTATCGCAGTGCCTCCCCGTCAGTGGTACGGGGGAGTAACTGGGGCTGCTGGGAAGAGTTGGCGGTGAAGTCATCCTCCAAGTAGGCACCAACGTTGGTTTCGATCTCTTGAATGCGAGAAACTGCAAACAGCACCAGGAGAAACCAGACACCGGCAACAGAGGTCATCCATTTGTCTGAGAATTGCATCCTTATTGCGTCCTTGTGGGAGAGAGAGAACGGGGAGATGGGCAGGTTGAGTAAAACTGTACGTATGATCAGTGGGAGTGTGGGTGTGGTAGCAAATAAGAGTGTTTTGGGAAGCAGCCGGTTGACAGGTTCCTTTGTGTTGTAGTGATTTCCTGAGTTTAGTGGCGCTCTAGTAATGACGATGATGGGACATCGGGCGGCGTTTTGTGGCTTCATGAGGGCGGACATGCGTGCGCGTCATCGGACTCTGAGATCGTCATTTGTTTTTGTCACGATCGCCCGCACGCCATCCACTTCCACTTTCCTTCTCCCCCTTGCCGACGACGCATGTGTGGGCGTTGCTGCGGTGGTGCCTGCATGGGTGGACCGTCACCAGAGGGTTTCACGGCATCACTGTGTGCTGCGCTTCTTGTGGGCACCCACATCTCCCAGGCGAGGGGTATTTATGTTCGCCACCAAATGTGTTGGGAAATGATGTTGTGTGTGCCGCCGCCTGCTTCAACTGCAATGGCGCTTATAATAGCACGCAGAGAGATATGGAAGTAAAAGAAGATGAAAGCAGCAAACAGAAACAAAA